ATTCAGAGGAAACAGCTACACAAATGTCCATTAAATACAATGAGCACCATTCAGGCACTATACATTTTTGTTTGCTTGTTTGTTTTGAGGTGGGCGAATATTCCAGCTTATAGGTTACAGGAACTCAAGCAGGGTAGGAACCTGAAGGCAGGAACTAGAAAAGAGGAATTCCATTGGGGAATAATTCTTCTTTAATTTAATTTAACTATTTATTGTTTTTAATTGAGCTATACGTTTTCCCCACTCCTCTTCCTCCTTCCCGTTTCCCCTTCCACACAGCCCCTTGCTCCCACAGTCCCAATTTACAAGGAGAGCTTGTCTTTTTCTCCTTCCTAGGCAGATCTATGCATATCTCTTTTAAGGTCTTCTTTGTTGTCTAGATTCTTTGAGATTGTGGACTGTAGGCTGGAGAAATGCTTCTTGTTGATTTGCTCTCCACTGCTCCCTTAGTTTGGCTAGTTTGGTTTCTTTACTGTTTTCTTTTATTGAAAATAGATTCTTTTCTCATGCAGCATATCCTGATTATAGATTCTCCTTCGTCTGCTCCCTCCAGTTCCTCCCTTCCTTCCACCCTCTGGATCCATTCTGTTTCTGTCTCTCATTAAAAAAGAACAGACTTCTAAGAGATAACAACCAAACAGGACAAAATAAGATAAGGTAAAGTAATAATTGTCCTATTGTAACTAGACACAGCCAGCCAAAAGGAGGAAAAGAGTCCTCAAGAGCAGGCAAGAATCACAGACCCACTGGTTCTCATAGTCCGGAGTCCCATAAAATACTAAGCTGATAGCTATAACATATAAGCAGAGAACTTGGTTAAACCCATGTAGACCTGTGCTTGCTGCTTCAGTCTCTGTGAACTCATGTGCACCTTGCTTAGTTGATTCAGAGGACTTGTTATCCTGGTATCTTCTATCCCCTTTGACTCTTACAATCTTTCCACCTCCTCTTCTATGGGATTCCCTGGGCCCTAGGAGAAGGGATTGGTGAAGACCTCCAGTGTAGATTCTCTCGCCACAGAATGTCTGGCTGTGGATCTCTGCATCTGTTTCCATCCACTGCCATGGGAAGTCTCTCTGATAATGACTGGATAAGGCACTGCTCTGTGAGTATAGCAGAACATCTGGACTATCTAGTCTCTAATTCTTGGTTACCAAAGCAGGATTAGGTATGGGTTCTTTCTCATGAGATGGGCCTTAAGTCGAATCAGACATTGGTGGGTTACTTCCACAACTTCTGTACCACCATTGGCCCCCTACACATACTCCCCCCCCCACACATACACATAATTAAAATAACAGGAAGTTATTTTTCAAAAAGAAAACTGTATTTATATTCTTAAGAAATGTAGAAGATGATCTAGTGGTTAAGAGAATTTGCTGATCTTTCAAAGAACCTGGATTTGGTTCCCAGCATCCATGGTGGGCACCTCACAATGATCTACAACTCCAGATTTAGGGGACCCAATACCCTCCCTGGTTTCTGTGCATGACCACAAGCCACCCCACTCCCACATCACACACACATGCACACACACAAAAAAACATAAATAAATAAAAACAAACCTTAAAAAAGCTAGAAATATAGGTGGCATTTAAAAATAATGGTGGAAGATAAGGTGTTCACATTTTAGGAAGGTATATAGACCTAAGTACAGTAATGTTCTTTATGATCGCTATATTTGTATAGGTTTTGTTTGGTTGTCTTGTATGTTTAGAATGTCAAGGGAAACACAATAAATTTTCCCTTAAAACATATGACACACGGTAGATTTTTTAAAATGAGCTTTCCAGGTTCGTTTCCATTGCAGGTTGGAGAGGAAATGTCAGGGTGGAGTGGGTTATAAGTTAATATAAGCAGGTGAGACAGGAAAGGAAAGACAGACGAGGCAGTTAGCATGGCGGAAAAGTGTGAGCAAGTGCCAATAAGCAGCGGGGTTAAGATTAATATTTCAAGGCAGCGCTTTTAAAAGTCAGAACCGATGCAGAGCAAAACAGTGTGGTTTCCGGCACAACATGGAAACTAAGGTGCCCACAATGGGTGATTTGAAGGGACTGGTTAGTTCAAGAAATAGGAGAGGTTGTGTGGAAAAAAGAAAATGCAAGTCCATGGAGACATGCTGTCTTGCTTGTTTATTTTAGAGGCTGAAGACCCTTGAATCCAACACCTTCAGCTGTCAACTTGACACGGTCCAGAGTTACCTAAGGGAGTCTCCGTTTGCAGGGATGGGGGTATGTTGGTCAGATGGATTGAGGTCATGTCTGTACAGACATTTTCTTAATAACTGATGTAGGAGGGCCCAGTCTATTGTGAGTGGTACTATCTTTAGGCAGGGAGTTCTGGGCTGTTTATAGTAAGGAAAGTTAGTAGTAAGGAAACGTACTACTGTAGAAGAGTCTTAAAATAGATATGAAAGAAATGTAAACGGAGTTACCAAATAACAGAGGTGACAATGCCCCAAATAGACGTCTTTTGCCAACAAGTAAAAACATCCAGTGCCAGATATGGGTTATGTTACAGTTGAGTCATTGGCCAAAGGGGGCCCATGTCAACCCCCAAACAACTCAGGCTATTTCTAAGTCTATTGGTTGCTCTCCACAAACTGATGGCAAGGCCCTGTTACTTACAAATCTCATTGAACATGGAGAAGTTGAACTAGCTCCTAACTGACTAATGTTCAGGGTATTGGAAGGTACTTTGAATGCTACTAGAGAAGAAAGGCAACCACCAACCCAGCTACAAACCCTGGAATCTACAATGGTGGCCTGACTGCATGATAGTGGCACAGATGTTGTACAAGTAACCAACCAACCACTCTCTGATTGTATCTAAGGTCCACTCTATGAGATGGAATACATGCTTGACACTGCTCATGTGGCCAAGAACCTGAGATTAGATAGGTTACGGGTCTAGGGGTTAACCAAATTCTATAGTTCTATTAAAGAAATATAGCAATAAAACGACTCCTAACAACATTATGCTATACTCATAGATCAGTGCGCTGCTCAGACATCATCAGAGAAGCTTCCTCTTACAGTTGGAATTAACACAGAGACCCACAATTAGACATTGTGTAGAAAGTGAGAGACTTTGGAACACTCTGTCCTAAATGGTACGTCTTCATCTAACCCCTCCTTTTGGGGCTCAGGGAGCTATGCAAAACAGGAGGCAGATTTGACACCAAGGAAACAGGGTCTTCTAGACACAACACAGTTGATGCACCAATGAACTCACAGCGAGTACAGTAATGCAAGGAGCCAGCACAAGCTCAAGCCAGGTTGGGGTAGAGTCCCAGCACTGAGACAGGAGAATGAACATGAGTTCCTATCCCTAGTTAAGAAGGTGTCTACAATTGACAACTGTTTGCAAAGAAAAACTTCATTTTCTCACTGAATATATCAACCACCCTTAAGGGCAGGTATGGGTCAAGCCTAGCAGTAGATGGTCAATGTAAAACCAACTCAGGGGTATTTGCGTAGATAGCTTGTCTTTTGCATGTGCATTATGGCTTCTGATTTTGTGTTTTTATGGGCTTTGATTTGTGTGTGTGTGTGTGTGTGTGTGTGTGTGTGTGTTTCTCTGTGTATGTTTTTCTCATGCTTTTTCATTGTCTTTATTTTTTTGTTTTTGTTTGTTTGCTATAGAGAGAGATGGAAGCCTGGAGTTGGGAGGGTGGGAAGATGGAGGGAATCTAGGAGTAGCTGGGGGAGTGGAAAGCATGATCAGAGTATTTCACATGAACATTTTATTTTCAATAAAAAAAGGACTATTGAAAACAAAAGGCCAGGTAGCGGAGCCCAGGGAACATGCTAGCAGGCAGGGCTCCTACATGATTTCTGCTTTAGTTCCTACTTGAGCTCCTGCCCTGACTTCCCTCAATGATGAACTGTGACCTGGGAGTTGTAGGATTAATCCCTGTCTTTCCCTAAATTGCCTTTATTCATGGTATTTATCACAGCAACAGAAAGCAAATCAGAACACTAACCTGTCCGGGTCTGTCCTTACCAGGGAGGTGGAAAAGTCTATGTGCTCTGGTTGTGGGTTTGGGCCAATAGGGTCTTTTGGGGTGCATGATATCTGAGTGGAAGGCGGAGAATTTTTTTCTAACTAGGGACTCAATGTGACTTGCCACTTTGTGCCCCCACAATCATGTCACAGACCTCCAACTGTGAGTCAAAATAAACACACCCTAAACTCTCCCTCCCTCCCTTGCTTGCTTGCTTTTTGTTTGGAGGAGGCAGAATGGTTTACTTCATCTTAAAATTCCAGGTTGCAATTCATCATTGTGAGGAAGTCAAGACAGGATCTCCAAATAGCTAGTCGCACCTCAACCACAATCAAAAACAGAAATGAAAGCATAGATGCCTGCTCTTTCAGTTTCCTGACTATCCCCCCTTCCACTTTTTTAAAAAGGAAAACTAGCATATCTTTTGTTTATTTTTGGACGGTTTCACACATAAACACATACTCCACCAACTCCCCTCCCTTTCCCTTCAGGCACCCCATGTCCCTCTCCCTCGACCATGTCCCTTTCACCCTGACTATGCCCCCCTCGCACTGTCATGCCCACTCAGATTTATCCACGGTATCAATGTTTAAATAATCCACTGGAATCCAACTAGTGCTGCCTGTGAGGTTATTGATGGATCTCATTGGCTTGATCTTATTCAAGCCTTGTGCAGGCAGCCATGGCTACAGTGAGTTCATGAGTTCAAGGGCATGTCATGGTCAAAGGACTGAGTTAGAGCACATCCCCAGTCTCTTACATTCTTACCGCCCCTCCTTCTGTGACGTTCCCTGAGCCTTGCGGGGCAGAAGGGGTTGATGTGGATGTCCCACTTAGAGAAGACTATTCAATGGTCACTTATGCTGACCAGGCACGAGCCTCTGCATCAACCGCCAACTATCATAGACTGAAGCTTCTCTGGCCAAAGTCAAGGGCAGCACTAATCTATAATCCTGTCCTTCCTTAAGTAGATTTGTCACATATTGTGTTACAGCAATGAAAAAGACCTGATCCGGATGTGGAACACTGCCTGACACCTCCCCAAACTGCTCTCCGACGTTTCTAGGCAGGTAGTGAAGGACGGAGCGAGGGAAAGGTAATAGCGTAACTCTGACTCTGGATTATACGGATTATACGCAGGTGAGCTCAGAAACTTTGTCCCTCCCTCCCCCTCCCCGAGAATCCTGTGCCTCCAACTTTTTTTACATTAAAGCCAATCAGTTATCTGGTATTTGTTGTCGGGTCCTTCATTCTTCTGACCTTGGGTCCCCAGAGTCTGGGAAGCTAGCAGCAGGGATGGGGAGTTCTCACCTGTTTTGATCTCTCTTTGAAATCTGGGCCAGCTCTCTGGAAAGAAACAAGCCTTGTATTCTGGGGCACAGCTTTTGTTCTCAGACTTCAAAGTCTAACATTGGAATAAAAAGTCTTCTCCCCATATAAGCCTATGGATTTTCCCAGGGGAGAGGGACGGATTTATGTTTAATCAAATTTGGGGGAACGATCAGGGTGCGAGCCAGCTTCACGGACTTCTCTCTGGAAGAACCTCAGTCACTGAGCATGCACATTGGATTCGAGCTTGCAGGAAGCGTGGCGTGCTGCTCCATATGACAGGAGACAGAGACAGAGACCCACATTGGAGCACCGGACAGAAATCTCAAGGTCCAAATCAGGAGCAGAAGGAGAGAGAGCACGAGCAAGGAACTCAGGACCCCGAGGGGTGCACCCACACACTGAGACAATGGGGATGTTCTATCGGGAACTCACCAAGGCCAGCTGGCCTGGGTCTGAAAAAGCCTGGGATAAAACCGGACTCGCTGAACATAGCAAACAGTGAGGACTACTGAGAACTCAAGAACAATGGCAATGGTTTTTGATCCTACTGCACGTACTGGTTTTGGGGGAGCCTAGGCAGTTTGGATGCTCACCTTACTAGACCTGGATGGAGGTGGGTGGTCCTTGGACTTCCCACAGGGCAGGGAACCCTGATTGCTCTTTGGGCTGACTAGGGAGGGGGACTTGATTGGGGGAGGGGGAGGGAAATGGGAGGCGGGGAAGAGACAGAAATCTTAAATAAATAAATAAATAAATAACATATAACAGTTCGATATTGAAATATAAAAAAGAAAAGAAAGAAACCAACAGGAAAAGTCAGGATTTATTTTCTGGTCTCCTTTTGTTTCTAACCAAACGTAAATATTGGATCTAATGGATAGTACAATTCTTTTCGACAGGGCTGTCTCAAAGAACAAGACAGAGAGACAGGGAAAAGTCACGTATCATGGGGACTGGTTCCTCACCAGCTCTTCACTCATTGCTGGGACGAGATACTTAATAAGAAGCAATTTAAGGAGGACGGGGTTTATTGAGTTCACAGGTTGTAGGTCTAGTCCATCACAGCAGGGTTGGAATGGCAGCTACAATGGCTCTCAGGGTGGCAGGAGGGTGAGGCAGCTGGTCACATTCTGCCCACACTCAAGAAGCAGAGAAAGATGAATGCTTGTGCTCAGCACACTTTCTCCTTTTGGGTCATACCACAGCCAACGGGATGATACCACCCACATTTAAAAGTACGTCTTCCCTCCACGGTTAAAATTCTCCGGAAGCAGCCTTACAGTCACAACCAAGAGGTGTGTCTTGTAGGTGATTCTAATTCCAGCTTAGGTGATAATGAAGATTAGCTATCAGGGTATTTTATTTCAGTAACTGAGAAACCTACATAGATTTCTCTCTCACCAGCTGGAGAACCAGGAAAACCAGCAGCATGACTGAATGCAGGGCTGTAGACTTGAGAATAAGAACTGATGGTCTGATCTACAGTGGTACAGAAATGCTGTTGGAATCTACAGGCAAAAGAAACTTGGAGAGATGACATGCAACGGAGAGGTTTGTGTCTGCTTCCAAAGAGCAGGTAAGAATATAGCCTCCCTCATGCTACCATTTTGTTACGATGAACTCCCAGGAGGCTAGGTGGCCCCTTTTCACACCAAGGGTGGATGTTACACATTCTATTCACCTGTTTGTATACAATCTTTACTAATCACACCTGGGAAAGCCAAATACTCCATTTAAACACAAAACTGCCCAAGCTTCCTTTTTACTACAAGAGAAATGGGATTGGTATTTACTAAAGACTTGGGTGTAAAATGTATCACCAGCTACCTGAATATTTCTTAATGTAATCAGGTTTCGGCATCCTAAGTCAACCAACCCAAGTATTTCAGTCCATTTTATGTTGCTATAACAAAATACTTCACACTGGATAACTTAGAGGAAGCGGATTTTATTTTCTCTTACCTGTACAGGCTGTGTAGTCTGAGATCAAAGTACTGTCGGGATGTCCTAGTGAGGTTGGTACTCTAAGGTGGCATCTATGCGTTCTCCATCGGGGAGGAGTACTGTGTCCACAAGCCACAGAAGGGCAAGAGAATGGGATGCTGCCTGAATCCCCCTTTAAGTCCTTATTCACACCTATAAATGAGGAGCCCTGTGACCTATTAACCCCTTAAGGAGTCCCATTCTTAAGGCGGTAACAGTGGCAACACCTGGGTTTTAGAGACCGCATAGTGATGCCATGAAGCAAATACAGACCTTGACATGGGAAGAAGAGTAGGCACAGCATGGAGTGGTTGGGTTAATGACTGTCTGAATGAGTGAGTGGATAAATAAGGGGATCAATGATGAATGGTGACCTGCCACCCACTGCCCATCTCAAAGCCAAAGGCTCATCCCGGAGTGAAATCCTCACGGCAGCATGAAGCCGAGGGTGGGAGGTAGGAGACTATTTTCCTGGGGTGTAATTGCTTACCTGGGCTCCAGATAAAACAAGATTAAGGAGGTCTTCCTCCTTTTCACCTGATGATTGATATAGGAAGCTGTCTATCCAACCACCCAAGCCCCATTCCCGGTGACCACTTGTCCAACTTTGGTTTGAGGATGGCAGACAAGTGACAAACAAGCAGCATTCTCGAATGTTCTCAACTCCCTAACCATGTCCCTGTCTCCAAGGACACACACACACACACACACACACACACACACTGGTGTCCCGATGTTTCACCACCCAATTCAAATGGAACAAGCAAAGACTGAACATAATATATTCATGTTTCCTCATTGTTTAGGACCAGCAAAGCTTGGTGGAGAAGAAGAATGACTTTCATTTCATCTCATCTGCACGAGCTCTCCTGTAACTCACCAGTTCTGCAATGGAGCGAAGTGGACAGTTCTTCATTGTGCACCTTTATCATGCAACTCTTAAAGCAGAACGCTGAAAATACAAGAATAGGTGCTTGACCTTATAGTGATCTAGCACATCACCTCTCTGAGTCCTGAGGCAGCCACACTAGCGGGGAAGCCCTGGGTACGGCTATTGTAAGACCATATCATGAAAGAGATGCTTTTTGGCCGTCACGTATCAGAAGTCACAGAAAACACCTCTGGAGAAGAGCTGGATAGGCACTGGATTGTGCTCAGATGAAGAGGATTGCTGAAGTGGTGCCTGCCACACACAAGCTTGAAAGGGTGCTTACACAAACCTATTTCCAAACCTACTTCTCCAATGCCATGCTTCTTAATCCACTCAAGTTTTGACATCCCAAATCAACCAACCCAAGTGTTTCTGTCCGTTTATATTGCTGCAACAAAATGCTTAACACTGGCTAACTTAGAGGAGCAGAACTTTATTTATCCTTGTGCAGTCCAAAATCAAGGTACTGTCAGATTGCCCAATGAGGGCGATGCTCCTCTTCCAAAATGGCATGAAGGAAAATGATGGCATGGGCTCCTACTGTGGGATATTCATTTTCACTGCTGGTACCCAACCTCTCCCATGCCGTTGGTGCTCAGTGGAGTGCTGATGAGATGCTGTCTTCACTGTGAGCGTGACTGTCCTCTCAATAAAGGAACTTGACTCATGGGCACTTGTGCAGTTCTTTCGGTTACTTTTATGCAGTGATGGAGATGGCCGCTGATTGTGGATACAGGGTAAGAGAGTGAGTCTGATGGGAAGGAGCAGGTATTCGTTATGGAGAAGGAGTTCTATGCGCTTGCTCGAGGCAGAAGCAAATAGCTGAGGTCAAGGCAAATTGTGTCTAAGAAACAGGGTAGATTTCTAAGAAATTGGCTAAAAATGAAGGCTGACACTGAGTCAAGCAGAAGACAACCGACGGGCAATAAGCAACCAAGGGATTCTTCAGGCTGAAGGCAAATGTGAAGCAAAGAATGCAAGGAGCCTTTATGATAGAGGCAGCATTTTGGCTGCTGTTGTTGCTGCTGCTGCTGCTGCTGCTGCAATTCAGGGAAACTTCCTATCCCTTTTGGCCATTCCTGTCTTGATCAGGGTACAGATTTTCTCCTAAAAAAAAAAAAAAAGAAGCTACATCTCTATTTGGCTCCAGACATATTTCTAGGCCCACCACAGTTGCATGTCCACAGCTATCTATCACACTGTGTGAATGTGGAATCTCTGACACAGGTTACAGGCTCATAGACTAGATGGTGCATTTCCAGCTGGCAATGCTGATAATAGGGGACTGTACCATGAGAGCAACAATCTCATTCATCACTGGGTTCATAACTGAATGAACACTGAGGAGGTGGTGTCTGGTTAGAGGAGGCTGCTATGGGCATGTCTTTGAAAGCTGTACCTTATCCCTACTCTCTCTTTCTCCTTCTCGTGTGTGTGTGCGGGCACATGTGCACATGCGTGCACACATGTGTGTATGCGAGTACACTCATACAGATATTGATCCAGGCATTGCTTTTTAATTATTATCAGGCCTACCTTTTGAAATATAGCTAAGTCTGCAGAGAGGCAACCAAATATCCCAGGAAAGATATCTCCCAAACATAACCAAGAGGAAGTATAAGAGAGAGCCTTAGGGAGTCTCAGGCACTATCTGTTACTTCTTTGAGCTAGACCCTGGAGGTCACAGAATGGGGTGGGAGTGAGCAGTTGGAAAGAGATAGTCTTCACGTTTTACAACTGGGGGGAGTCCATGACAACCACACCCTGTCCAGTTGGCGCTGACAAATCCACTCCGAGCTTCTCCACATCTAGGGTACTTTTTCTTGATTATGTTCCTGAATTAATTGAGGAGGATCTGGGATTAAAGATTGACCTTCTCTGAAGGAGAATCCATTAATGGGAACTGAGACTTCAAGCTAATAATGGAATTTATCTAAACAAACCCCGGGGCTTAGGAGATGGACCAAAGCAAAGAGTCAGAATGAGATCCAGCCTGTACCTTCTTGGAAGGAATTAGAAAACTGAGCTAAAAGAAATGTTCTTGGTGGTAGGGTTGCACGCCCAAGTTATTAGGGGAAAATGTATTTATGCAATGTTTAAAATTATTAAACAAATATGTAATTTATTCTCCCTTATAAGTGAAGCAGCAGCTGTAACAGAATCCCAGAGAACACTGGGAGTTATATGCTATTTCTGCAAAGAGAAGCTGTGTACATAAGCAAGTGCCAGGATGGAGAATAGGGAAAATCCTCCTTCTAGCTTGTATATTATACAGAGAAGAAAGGGAGGAGAGTATGGGTACTAGAAGTCAAACCTAATTATCTTGATATCTTTACCCAACGAATGACTAGGAAACACATATCCAGACCACCACTTTTGTTGACTTCATTCATATTAATTCTTGACATTCTCTTCTGCAGTGTGTGTCTGTGTGTGTGTGATTTTAGTGTGTGAATTTTGCAAGCTTTTGCAATCATCTTGCAATGAAGCTAAATATATATTCATTACAAGAATATATAAAAATGAAGAAAAATAAAGACTCAGTCCAAATAATTAAATGGTCTTTGGTTTCAGAAAGAAAGCGAAAAGACCTACACATGTTTACTTTATTCATCTAGGAAGTGTTGGAGAAGTTTGTCTTCTCTTCTGTTAATAAATGAAATATTGGGTGTGCATGTGCGTATGATGTGTGTGTGTGCATATATGTGTGGTGGCGGATTGGCAGGCATAGAGTTAATGCTAAGGTTGCTAAATATTTCATGAGATGGAAAGTGACGCAGAGCACATCACAAACACATGCACGTGCACATGCACACACACGCACACACACACACCATATGTTATTGTTCAGAGAATTAGAACATGATCAAGTTCACGTAACACTAAAATATGCTGCACATAATTTTAAGCTTTCTTTGATGATTCAGAAACTATTTTAGGTTCCTGCTCCTCTGGGTTATTACTATGAACATAAGATATTATCATGCAATTCTGCAAAATCTAAGTTGTTCACATTTCTCTGGCTGTTTTATTCTGAGTGAATGAGAGTTTTAGAGCAATGTTTTAATTATTGTGCGGAATTAAAAGTGAAGGTCCAGGTCATCCCGAGTTGTGACTGGGAAAAGAGAAACATCTAAGATTGTGAGGATCGTGAAAACTACAGCTTGTACTCTTTGGGTGATGAGTTCTCAAATCTTATCCACAATTCCCATGCAGGAAGAATTCATGTTTACTTAAAGAAGTGAGAGGGCATTTTAATAGAGAGATTGTATTTTAGCAAGGTCTGCAGGTAACAGTCAATTCACTGAGACAAGGGGCCATTTCAGATGAAGTAAGGATGGGAACCCAGATCCGGGGAAATGCTGAGTAAAGCCGCTCACTTCTCAAAATATTAAAGAGATGGTGTGTGGAATATTAGCATCTATCCCCTAGCCCTGCCCAGAAATACAGAATTGGGGACCAGAAAAAGGAATGAGCTTCTAAGTGCAATGCTGTTCTTTCAGAGGACTGGAGTTCATTTCCCAACTTCATGTCTTACCAAACTCCAGCTCCAGGCTCTCTGATGCCCTTTTCATGCATGTATAACACACACACCACCACCACCACCACCACCACCACCACCACTACCACCACCACCACATGCAGTCCTGATAAATGAAAGTTTAAATTACTCTGTGATTCACAGGGAAATGAAATCTAGAGAAACCTTGGCTGAGCATATTGCTGGTACTATTTGCACATGAGACCAGAAGTTTTGCCCCACATTAAAGCCCTGATACCATGAAAATGAATTTGAACCTTTTTCTGTATGTCATAGAAAACATTAATATCTTCGAAGTAGATATTGAATTGCAGAATGCACCCTAGCCCATCAGGATTCATGCTGTCCTTACTATACAGGAAGGTCCAACGAGCTTCCTCATGTGATACTCTCCTGAACTCGAAGTCCTGACCCGGTCCAGCAGGCTACAGATCACTGCTGGGACTGTCAGTGGCTATATGCCACCTACTGTTGAGACTGTCATCAAAGAAGAGTATCGCTCTGGTTCCTGAACTTTGTATGACTATTAATAGGGAGAAATAGCTTAAAACAAGAACTTAATTTTTAATTAAGCAGGGAGTTTTCTTCTAAATTTGTTACTATAAAAGAATACATATGCCTGAATTATTTAAGCATAAAAGAAATTTGTTTGAGTTTACAGTTTGGGCTTCATTAGTCTCTGTTAAGAGACTCACATTACAAAATCAAGTATTTATTTGCAAAGATAATGAAGCGGGCATGAGAAAGGAAACAGAAGACCAGAGCCTTGCTTTATAGCATCCTTGTGATGGGCAAGCCCCCCGTGATCTAATTATCCATTAGAGGTCTTAATATTATTCCACTGAGATTCAAATTTCAGCCTGAGTTTTGGAAGGGACAGAGAGCACTCAAGTCATACCATGAGGACCATTGAGCATCTAAAGACACTTGACAAATGAACGGGACACGACATGGCACTTCTAGCAGGGCCTGACTTGCAGCCATGGCATACCTGGCTTTGTTTCAGGCCCTGGGGAGTCAAAGTGAAGTATGTTCTTCTGAGGTAACTCAAACCTAGACACAGAGGCAAGCAGAAAGCCTACAGTTTCCAAGTTTCAGGGGAGGAGTCCAGTAGCTCTCGTGTGGCACAAGAGATCCCCGTGTGAGTGACTGTGGGTTGCAGCATGTCTAACTTAAAGAGGAGGGGCTGCACACCAGACCACATATGGAGATGCAAGGCTTCGGGGTAGCAGTCAGAGGGCAAGCATGCAGGAGGAGGTGAGAACGGGAGTTGAAAGGCCTTTCTATGAGCGACAGCATTAGAGAATGTGAACTTTATCCCATAGGAGAATGCATGGAGATTCTAAAAAGAATATAGGCGGAATTGCATTTTTCAGTAAATATTTTGTTGATAGCAAGGACAGTGAATGAAAAGAGAGTAACACAGGACATGCCCTACTTAGGAGTCTAGTTCTGCAATCCAAGAAACAGGCGTAAGAGCCTGGATAGAGAGGGTGTAAGGGGCGTAGGGGTAGAGGGTACATTTCTGACCTGTAAGGAAGCGGTCGGGGTTAGAGCTTGTCAACTAGATTGTTGTGAGTGTTTAAAAAGGAGAAGAGTCCAGTGATGCATTAGGGTGCAAGATGGACATTAGGGGGAGACTCTAATTTAATTAGAGGTTTTTGTCTTTGAAGGACCTTGTGGCATTTTGCTAGAGGAATTCAGTGTGGACCTAGGAGCTTGGTAGAGGCTGAGAGAGGGAGATAGATGTTTTCGAAGCATGGAAGTAGAGACTTTTGTGGAGTAGAAGGTAGAGAAGAAAGGAGTAAGGTGTGAGAAGAGGGATTAAGAAAGGCTTTTCTTCCCAGCACTCGGGAGGCAGAGGCAGGCGGATCTCTGTGAGTTCGAGACCAGCCTGGTCTACAAGAGCTAGTTCCAGGACAGGCTCCAAAACCACAGAGAAACCCTGTCTCGAAAAAACCAAAAAAAAAAAAAAAAAAAAAAAAAAAAAAAAAAAGAAAGGCTTTTCAATGGCAGGGAAAAGTAGGGGTTATAAAATGACCTTACAAAAGAGCCAGGGCAGAAAAAAAAATGAATCATGGAATTAGTCAAAGGACATGGAGAAAGTGCAGGCAAGTCT